ATGGATATATGAAACATCTCATATACGCTACAATGAACAATGGATCTATAAAACATCTCATATACACTACCATGAACAATGGATCTATGAAATATGTTATATAAGTTACCATGAACAATGGATCTATGAAGCATCTCATATACACTACCATGAACAATGGATCTATGGAACATGTTATACACACTTCCATGAACAATTGATCTATGAAACATGGTATACACACTACCATGATCAGTGGATCTATAAAACATGTTACATAAGCTACCATGAACAATGGAATTATGAAATATGTTACATAAGCTACCATGAACAATGGGTCTATGAAACATATTACATAAGCTACCATAAGCAATGGATCTATGAAACATGTTACATAAGCTACCATAAGCAAAGGATCTATGAAATATGTTACATTAGCTACCATGAACAATGAATCTATGAAATATGTAATATACCCTACCATAAACAATGAATCTATGAAATATGTTATACACACTACCATGAACAATGGATCTATGAAACATGTTGCATAAGCTACCATGAACAATAGATCTATGAAACATGTTACATAAGCTACCATGAACAATGAATCTATGAAATGTATTACATAAGCTACCATGAACAATGGATCTATAAAACATATCATACACACTACCATGAACAGTGGATCTATGGATCATGTTATACACACTACCATGAGCAATGGATCTATAAAACATGTTATACACACTACCATGAACAGTGGATCTATAAAACATGTTACATAAGCTACCATGAACAATGCATCTATGAAATATGTTACATAAGCTTCCATGAGCAATGGATCTATAAAACATGTTACATAAGCTACCAGGAACAATGGATCTATGAAATATGTTACATAAGCTACTATGAACAATGGATCTATGAAATATGTTACATAAGCTACCTTGAACAATGGATCGATGAAACATGTCATACACACTACCATGAACAGTGGATCTATGGATCATGTTATACACACTAATATGAGCAATGGTTCTATAAAACATGTTACATTATCTACCATGAACAATGGGTCTATGAAACATGTTACATAAGCTACACTGAACAATGGATCTATGAAATATGTGACATAAGCTACCATGAACAATGGATCTATGAAATATGTTACATAAGCTACCATGAACAATGGATCTATGAAACATGCTACATAAGCTACCATGAACAATGGGTCTATGAAATATGTTACATAAGCTACCATGAACAATGGATCTATGAAACATGCTACATAAGCTACCATGAACAATGGATCTATAAAACATGTTATACACACTACCATGAACAGTGGATCTATGGATCATGTTATACACACTAATATGAGCAATGGTTCTATAAAACATGTTACATTATCTACCATGAACAATGGGTCTATGAAACATATTACATAAGCTACCATGAACAATGGATCTATGAAATATGTTACAAAAGCTACAATGAACAATGGATCTATGAAATATGTTACATTAGCTACCATGAACAATGGATCTATGAAACATATTACATAAGCTACCATAAGCAATGGATCTATGAAACATGTTACATAAGCTACCATAAGCAATGGATCTATGAAATATGTTACATTCGCTACCATGAACAATGAATCTATGAAATATGTAATATACCCTACCATAAACAATGAATCTATGAAATATGTTATACACACTACCATGAACAATGGATCTATGAAACATGTTGCATAAGCTACCATGAACAATAGATCTATGAAACATGTTACATAAGCTACCATGAACAATGAATCTATGAAATGTATTACATAAGCTACCATGAACAATGGATCTATAAAACATATCATACACACTACCATGAACAGTGGATCTATAAACATGTTATAAACACTACCGTGAACAATGGATCTATAAAACATGTTATACACACTACCATGAACAGTGGATCTATGGAACATGTTATACACACTACCATGAACAATGGATCTATGAAACATGTAATACACACTGCCATGAACAGTGGATCTATGGAACATGTTATACACACTACCATGAACAATGGATCTATAAAACATGTTATCAACACTACCGTGAACAACGGATCTATGAAATATGTTACATAAGCTACCATGAACAATGGATCTATAAAACATGTTATAAACACTACCATGAACAATGGATCTATAAAACATGTTACATAAGCTACCATGAACAATGGATCTATAAAACATGTTATAAACACTACCATGAACAATGGATCTATAAAACATGTTATAAACACTACCATGAACAATGGATCTATAAAACATGTTATAAACACTACCATGAACAATGGATCTATAAAACATGTTATAAACACTACCATGAACAATGGATCTATAAAACATGTTATAAACACTACCATGAACAATGGATCTATAAAACATGTTATAAACACTACCATGAACAATGGATCTATAAAACATGTTATAAACACTACCATGAACAATGGATCTATAAAACATGTTATAAACACTACCATGAACAATGGATCTATAAAACATGTTATAAACACTACCATGAACAATGGATCTATAAAACATGTTATAAACACTACCATGAACAATGGATCTATAAAACATGTTATAAACACTACCATGAACAATGGATCTATAAAACATGTTATAAACACTACCATGAACAATGGATCTATAAAACATGTTATAAACACTACCATGAACAATGGATCTATAAAACATGTTATAAACACTACCATGAACAATGGATCTATAAAACATGTTATAAACACTACCATGAACAATGGATCTATAAAACATGTTATAAACACTACCATGAACAATGGATCTATAAAACATGTTATAAACACTACCATGAACAATGGATCTATAAAACATGTTATAAACACTACCATGAACAATGGATCTATAAAACATGTTATAAACACTACCATGAACAATGGATCTATAAAACATGTTATAAACACTACCATGAACAATGGATCTATAAAACATGTTATAAACACTACCATGAACAATGGATCTATAAAACATGTTATAAACACTACCGTGAACAATGGATCTATAAAACATGTTATAAACACTATCGTTAACAATGGATCTATGGAACATGTTATAAACACTATCGTGAACAATGGATCTATAAAACATGTTATACACACTATACCGTGAACAACATATCAACCTAGACGTTAGCTTATTTAGGAGTGTTTGTCTGATCAAAGTGATACTATCAAGCATATGTAATGTACGGCTGCAAAATCGTATACTATGATATATAGTCCCGTCATTACACAAAAAATAAATAGAAATATTACTTCATAACCAGTAATATATTACCATAATGACTGCAGTGATTAGCGTCTGGTGTCCCTGTTACGTGACTTCGCCCCAGTCAACTGTTTGTCTTGGTTATGAGTTGCACATTTCTGATGGTACACATCAAGTATAATGGCGTTATGTATCCGATGTTGTTTGCATTGTTTATTACAATTATTACATAATTTGATAAGATAATCCCCCGATGGCTCATTGTTCTGAGCACTTTTCTACATGGTTTCTACGAACAAGGTGCTTTCCATATTGTGATGTCAGACTGAAAGAACTTTTAAAGGAATTTCTTGTTCTGCGGTAAAACTGAATGTATTATTCTAGAACATACACTCTCAAACATCTTCTCTAGTGTGTTTAGAAAGAAGGACTGTTTTGTTTTCCTTTGAAGCCAACAGTATTCAACTGGTCTTAAGTTTGTGATCAAATCATAATTAAGCAATAGATATAATTATGATAAACAGCTTATGTCGCCAAAAGATTAATGAGCAATGTCTTGTTGTAACTTGTCTATAAGCCTATGATACATTACGGTTTTTGCTGGCGATCAGGCCATTTCCCGACCACGTGTTTAGGCTAGTTCCAGACCTCGGACTTTATGTCGGATGTACTACCTGATCCCGTCCGTTACCTCCCCGACAATCCTAGGAAGAAATCCCTCCCCAGGTATCACGATCCCATCTATCCCTATACCATCCAGTAACATTTCTTGTCACCAACAACCATCTCTCAAGTAATCGAACACACTCTGAAAAAAACTCTCTACCACAGAAACCCCCTTCTACAATCTCAATCCCCGTTACCTAGCCCCAGTCCGGATATCCATTTAACCCTCGGTTCCTATCTCTACGCTTGACATTCAAACCGACGTCGGATAAAAACTACCACCTGGATGCCCATCCGTGCTCTTGAAACAGACCAAAACCCCAAATACCCATCACGAAATGGCCAGGACATTTACCCCTACTTTATAAAGCTACATGTACCCATACCCTGCATGCATATCCATACTCTTAGTTGAATATTTGTATCAAACATATATTGATATACCTTATAGTTACATGGCAATTAGAGAAATTGAAATAAGCCTAGAGCGTATATCAATTCGTCTCCTAGGACCTTTATATCGGATTCACATCCCTACAGCTTATAATCATCACTACCTGGACTCCCTACCTGGACACCCTTCCCTTCCTCAAATATCCATTCTGGGGCCTTACCCGGCTAACCGGTTTTCCTCTCTAAAATCACTATGCCCCTGAACCGATGATTTGGTAATGATTATATCGCTCGTCGTGAGCAATTAATAAGTTATGTTTATTTCAGAAATCTCAAAGCTTTGACACAGGAACTGTGACGGTTATAATACGAGAAGGTTTTGTATGTGTACCACCTATACTATGTAACACGTGTCAGGTACATTGGGACCACGACCGCGCGCTCGAGACAACACACTGACAACAGCTGTTCCTTCCTTTGGTGGTGCTTGACATCACCGTAGTAAAGGTAAAGGAGTGTTTTAGTGACAAAATTGGTCTATCTCTCCCTATACTATCTGTCAGGATCTCTTAGTTAATGCAGATACATTAATACATAAACTGGCTTATAAGTTTCTATATGAAATAATAAACAAAACAGTACTTACAGATCTTTTTCTTGTCCCGCGCTCCATACCCGGTCAAGGAATAGAACTGTCATTATTAAGTGTAACATTAATTTTCTCTGTATAATCCAGATTTGCATCCTTGTGAGATGTTGAACTTGGCCCAGACTTAGAAGTAGTTGTTTCCCGTGGAAATCCGCGGACACTTATCCCAAGAGAAATTCACAAGAATGAAAGGCTAGAACTGTCCAGCAATGGAATATTCCCCGCCGTCCATACAATAGTAGAAGTAACATTTCTACTCACGGGAACACATCGAGAAATCCACACGTGCATTAAAGAGGACAGTGATCAATTAGTTTGATTACATACCTAACTATCTTGAATTACACACAACAATTAGCTTATACTTCAGAACACACGCGCACTTACACATACATGCACACACATGTACATATGTTATATATAATACACAATATAAATATACGATATATAATTATATATAGCTAGTACTCAAAAACTGTAATAAGCCGAGGTATTCCAGACCAAATACATGTTGCATGTCACGTGACTTTAAGGCAGTACCGCAGTGAAGGTAAGACCAGCTGATGCGCGGCGCTGTGTAGCCCTGTGCGTGCAAGTCTGGTCGTATAAAATGGGTGGAAACCTACAGAAGCCGATAGAAATCGGGCTGAGAATTTGGTAGTTATGTTATTTCTTGTAGAACACTTTCTGATGAACTGTGTCGGGGACAACGATCTCTGGTATGGTTAGGTGACATAATACATCATCAGTATGCAACTGAGTATACATACTGGATCATAGCATCATAGTTTTCTGTGCATACACAATTAAAACAATACAACGCTCCTTAGGTTTAACAGTGCACAGTAGACGTGTATTTACTTAAAAACAAAGCGTATCGAAACATCGATATTCATTGTATGAAGACACAAACCAGAAGCGCCTTTTGGGACCATACACACCGCTATCGATGTTTTCTGACTCTATAGCATTCGGAACTAAGGTTTGGGTGTTAGTAATGTGTGGAGAACCGGAGGGTTTGGGCGCAAGCTTACAATATATCTCTGTCCCTTTACCGCCGTGTGACTATGACATCGATCTGTTCCGGCCCATCATACCCTTTTCTTACATACAGCTAGATTATACCCTACATTTATAATCCCTACAGCCCAAATGCACCCCTCCCAGTTTTTACTCCATCAATTTAATCCTCACCACTATACCTTGCTTCCTATTTTTGCCCCATCAGTTCCCTACATCGCTTCCTATTCTCGCCCCATCAGTCCCCTACATCGCTTCCTATTCTTGCCTCATCAGTTCCCGACATCGCTTCCTATTTTTGCCCCTTCAGTTCCCTACATCGCTTCCTATTCTCGCCCCATCAGTCCCCTACATCGCTTCCTATTCTCGCCCCATCAGTTCCCTACATCGATTCCTATTCTTGCCTCATCAGTTCCCTTCATCGCTTCCTATTTTTGCCCCATCAGTTCCCTACATCGCTTCATATTCCCCTACACTGTCGTTACAGACATGTCCTCCTACCTTGTCAGTACAGACCTATTCCCCTACACTGTCCATACAGACCTATTCCCTAACCCTGTCTATACAGACCAATTCCCCTACACTGTCCATACAGACCTATTCCCTAACCCTGTTCATACAGACCTATTCCCTAACCCTGTCTATACAGACCTATTCCCTAACCCTGTCTATACAGACCAATTCCCCTACACTGTCCATACAGACCTATTCCCTAACCCTGTTCATACAGACCTATTCCCCTACACTGTTCATACAGACCTATTCCTTAACCCTGTCTATACAGACCAATTCCCCTACACTGTCCATACAGACCAATTCCCTAACCCTGTCTATACAGACCAATTCCCCTACACTGTCCATACAGACCTATTCCCTAACCCTGTCTATACAGACCAATTCCCCTACACTGTCCATCCAGACCTATTCCCCTACACTGTCCATACAGACCTATTCCCCTACCCTGTCCGTACAGACCTATTCCCCTACACTGTCCATACAGACCTATTCCCCTACCCTGTCCGTACAGACCTATTCCCTAATCCTGTCCATACAGACGTATTCCCCTACCCTATCCATACAGAAACCCTATCCCGTACCCTGTCCATACAGACCAATTCCCCTACACTGTCCATACAGACGTATTCCCCTACCCTATCCATACAGAAACCCTATCCCTTACCCTGTCCATACAGACCAATTCCCCTAATCCTGTCCATACAGACCTATTCCCCTACACTTTCCATACAGACCTATTCCCCTACACTGTCCATACAGACCTATTCCCCCATACAGACCTATTCCCCTACCCTGTCCGTACAGACCTATTCCCTCATCCTGTTCATACAGACCTATTCCCCTACCCTGTCCGTACAAACCTATTCCCTAATCCTGTCCATACAGACGTATTCCCCTACCCTGTCCATACAGACAAATTCCCCTACACTGTCCATACATACCTATTCCCCTACACTGTCCATACAGACCAATTCCCCTACACTGTCCATACAGACCTATTCCCCTACACTTTCCTTACAGACCTATTCCCCTACACTGTCCATACAGACCTATTCCCCTACCCTGTTCATACAGACCTATTCCCCTACCCTGTCCGTACAGACCCATTCCCTAATCCTGTCCAAACAGACGTATTCCCCTACCCTGTCCATACAGACAAATTCCCCTACACTGTCCATACATACCTATTTCCCTACACTGTTCATACAGACCTATTCCCTACACTTTCCATACAGGCCTATTCCCCTACACTGTCCATACAGACCTATTCCCCTACCCCGTCCGTACAGACCTATTCCCTAATCCTGTCCATACAGACCTATTCCCTTACACTGTCCATACAGACCTATTCCCCTACACTTTCCATACAGACCTATTCCCCTACGCTGTCCATCCAGACCTATTCCCCTACACTGTCCATACAGACCTATTCCCCTACACTTTCCATCCAGACCTATTCCCCTACACTTTCCATACAGACCTATCCCCCTACACTTTCCATCCAGACCTATTCCCCTACACTGTCAGTACAGACCTATTCCCTACACTTTCCATACAGACCTATTCCCCTACCCTGTCCATACAGACCTATTCCCCTACCCTGTCCATACAGACCTATTCCCCTACCCTATCCATCCAGACCTATTCCCCTACACTGTCCATCCAGACCTATCCCCCTACACTGTCCATACAGACCTATTTCCCTACCCTGTCCATACAGACATACCCTTACCCTGTACATACCGACATATCACCTACCCTGTCCATACAGACCTATTTCCCTACCCTGTCCATACAGACATACCCTTACCCTGTCAATACAGACATACCCTTACCCTGTCCATACAGACATACCCTTACCCTGTCCATACAGATATATCCCCTACCCTGTCCATACAGACTTATTCCCCTACCCTGTCCATACAGACATACCCTTACCCTGTCCATACAGACATATCCCCTACCCTGTCCATACAGATATACCATTACCCTGTCCATACAGACATATCCCCTATCCTGTCCATACAGACCTATTCCCCTACCCTGTCCATACAGACATACCCTTAACCTGTCCATACAGACATACCCTTAACCTGTCAATACAGACATACCCTTAACCTGTCCATACAGACATACCCTTACCCTGTCCGTACAGACCTATCCCCTACACTGTCCATACAGACCTATTCCCTTACCCTGTCCATACAGACATACCCTTACCCTGTCCCTACAGACATACCCTAACCCTGTCCATACAGACATATTCCCCTACACTGTCCATACAAAAGACCTATCCCCTATCCTGTCCATACAGACATACATGTATCCCTTACCCTGTCCATACAGACCTATTCCCCTCCCCGGCCATACAGACCTATTCCCCTACACTGTCCTTACAGACCTATTCCCCTACCCTGTCCGTACAGACCTATTCCCCTACACTGTCCATACCGACCTATTCCCCTACCATGTCCATACAGACCTATTCCCCTGCCCTGTCCGCACAGACCTATTCCCCTACACTGTCCATACAGACCTATTCCCCTACCATGTCCATACAGACCTATTCCCCTACCCTGTCCGCACAGACCTATTCCCCTACACTGTCCATACAGACCTATTCCCCTACACTTTCCATACAGACCTATTCCCCTACCCTGACCCTGATACAGACCTATTCCCTTATCCTGTCCATACAGACCTATTCCCCTACCCTGTCCATACAGATATATTCCCCTACCCTGTCCATACAGATATATCCCCTACCCTGTCCATACAGACCTATTCCCCTACCCTGTCCATACAGATCAATTCCCCTACCCTGTCCATACAGACCTATTCCCTAATCCTGTCCATACAGACCTATTCCTCTACCCTGTCCATACAGACCTATTCCTCTACCCTGTCCATACAGACCTATTCCCCTACACTGTCAATACAGACCTATTCCCCTACCCTGACCATACAGACCTATTCCCTAATCCTGTCCATACAGACCTATTCCTCTACCCTGTCCATACACAGATATACCATTACCCTGTCCATACAGACATATCCCCTATCCTGTCCATACAGACCTATTCCCCTACCCTGGCCATACAGACCTATTCCCCTACCCTGTCCATACACACCAAATCCCCTAACCTGACCATACAGACCTATTCCCCTACCCTGTCCATACAGATCAATTCCCCTACCCTGTCCATCCAGACCTATTCCCTAATCCTGTCCATACAGACCTATCCCCCTACCCTGTCCATACAGACCTATTCCCTAATCCTGTACATACAGACCTATTCCTCTACCCTGTCCATACAGACCTGTTCCTCTACCCTGTCCATACAGACCTATTCCTCTTCCCTGTCCATACAGACCTATTCCCCTACCCTGACCATGATACAGACCTATTCCCCTACCCTGACCATACGGACCTATTCCCCTACCCTGTCCGTACAGACCTACTACCCTGTCCATACAGACCTATTCCCCTACCCTGGCCATACAGACCTATTCCCTAATCCTGTCCATACAGACCTATCCCCCTACCCTGTCCATACAGACCTATTCCCTATCCCCCTACACTGTCCATACAGACCTATTCCCCTACCCTGTCCATACCGACCTATTCCCCTACCCTGACCATACAGACCTATTCCCCTCCCCTGACCATACAGACCTATTCCCCTCCCCTGACCATGATACAGACCTATTCCCCTACCCTGACCATACGGACCTATTCCCCTACCCTGTCCGTACAGACCTATTCCCCTACCCTGACCATACATACAATGTACCTATCCTACTACCATGTCCATATAATACAAGGACATGTTTTACTTGTCACTTCGTCCATTCGTCCACCAATGTCGGGCATGGTGGAGAAACAGTGATACACGTCCTACGCACTGTTTCTAATTACCTATGTATGGAACTCCCTCGGTACAATGTTAACGTTCTTAATCAACTTTGCATTAATCCGATAATACCAAATGATATAACACGTGCGCCATTGGTTATATTGAATATTATTAAGAACGTAGTTCGATCATCTCTTTAGTGAAAACTGCAGCGCTTTATTATACCCTACCCGACTCTCCGCTCAATAGTATAGCGTG